GAAATCTGCTGCAATGACCCGGTTACTGCGTTCACCAGATATCAACACAATTTCGATCCGCACCTGACGTCCTCACGTGTTAACCTCTTTGACATGTCAATGGCTGTGAACAAAGAGAAACTTGTAAATAACTCATGAAAGAATAAAGTTACATTGAAACCAATTACACCATTGTTTTTCTTGTGACATTACCAATAAGTTTGATGTGTCACATGGCCCTCTTCCTATTGAAAAAACAAAAGTTGTATCCAAGATGGCCGACTTCTAAATGGCCACCATGGTCACCACCCATCTTTTGGAGTTTGCCCCTCACATATACTAATGTGCCACAAACAGGACTTTAACATCACCAACCATTCCCATTTTATTACGGTGTATCCATATAAATGGCCCACCCTGTACAGTACAGCTTTGTTCTCAATAAAAGCTCTGATCTGCAAGCATAGCAAAGCCATTTCAAATCACTGTTTTCAGCCTCAGTTATTTGGCTTGAAACATTTTTACTGTTATTGACATTAGACAGTGATTGGGCTACTTCAGAAACCTTTAAGAATCTGGGTTTTCAATGTGAAACACTTGAAGTTTCAATTTTACAACGCATTTTCATGGATTTAAAGAATATAAAAAAAATGTTATATAATGTTATACATTCTGTCAGTCAATCTACTTAACACAAAAACTGGTGCAGTCCTCTGCTGCTTGCAGCCCATCTGGTTCAGGGTTCAACATGTTGTGTGATGTACATACCTCGATTGTAACAACTGGTTTTTTGAGTAACTGCTGCCTTAACCCAGAAAAGCTTAACCCAGAGAACTGCTGCTCATTAGATTTTTTTGTCTCATCATTTTGGGATTTTCTGTAAATCCTAGAGATGGTTGCATTAGAAAGTGCCAGCACCAACAAAACAGCAAACAAACAAGTTCAAAGCCTCTTAAATCACCTTTCTTCCACAATCTGATGCTCCAACAGGTGGTCTATACAGTGTCCACCTACCTACCTAAATGCATTGAATTGCTAATATATGATTAGTAGATTAGATATGTGCATTAGCGAGCAATATAACAGGGATAGCTAATAAAGTGGCCAATAAGAGTATTCCTTTGGATTTTACAGTCACAGACACATTTTAAGTTTCTCTATTGACTGTGCACTGTTTCAGTTGTTTGTGCAAGAAAACAAACAAAAAAATGAAGAAAAGAAAAAGCATTCAAAGATGCTACCTGTACAGCTTAGAACTGAATAGAAAACTGACCTGGTATGGACACATGTATGGACACCGGTAAAGTGATAGCAGTAGTTACTGTGGTGCAAGCATTTGTCGGAAGTGAGATACCCAGATGTTTTACTCTACCATATTTCTATAAATAAAGCTGAAGCATTTTGACAGAATGCAGGTTACATTAAAGTAAAATACAAATCACTCAGAAAAAAAAGAGAGTAATTTTGCATCGCTAACTACAGTAACTTACTAGTAGGATTAGCAAGTAGGAAGTAAATTAGCTAGTAGGATTAAAATCAGCTAATAGTTAAATGTAGTACAAGGCATGTCTTCTTGTAGAAGATTACAAGAAGCAGTTCTTGTACATGGTCCCTGAGAAATTAACATACTACAAAATACAATACAGCTAACATTAGCAAAGGATACTGAAACCATGCTTTACTTAAGTCATGTTGGCTAAAGTAAAGGAAGTTTCTAAACATATATTGCCTTATCAGATTTTTTATACTGTCTGCCACAGATAAACTTTATATAAAAAAAATACTAACATATCTTTGCAATTTCGTATTTGTTAGCCTTTTTTGTTCACTTTCAGCTAGCTCATGGAATGACAAAAATGTTTTTCGAAAAACAGTATTATTTCATAGTTTCATAGCTCTTTCAAATGGCAGATAAACAATAACTTGTATTCATACAGTCATTTTGGCATATTTTAAATTAATGTGGAAAACATTTAATATATTTATACAGAGTAGGTAACTGGAATATACTATAAATGTTACCCAACACTATGGTCTCTGAACACTGAGTTGAAAGATGCTAAAATGATACATTAAGCTAAGGAGAAAATTACAGGGAGGCAAGATAGATAGTCATTACAGGCAACAATCTTATGTATTATAAATGGACCGTTCATAATATATTGTATACATTATATAAATATTCATTAGTGCAGCTCTAAACAACGCACTTAGGTAATGCAAGAAAATGAATTTATCATCCTTGTTGCTTATTTGCAAAAAATGATGTAGCCCTGTTTAGCATAGCCATTTAAGCTCTGTTTCAGCACTTCTTTCAAGACTGTACTTGACAAGATTTCAAGTGCAGTCTGGAACCATTTCACAGCCTCCTGAAAATGTTTCTTTTCACCCTCCTTGTCTTCAGCTCATCTCCAAACTGAACGCGCTTTGTTTACTTCCTCGATGTCAGCAATTAGCTTAAATTAGGGACGCTCTTACTGTTAATGATGGCAGCAGATGGGAAGCCACGGCTTCTACTAGCTAAGATGACACCAATTCATTCACCCGCCTGTCCTCTACACCACTGCATCCAGCTCTCCAAGTCTCCTCCTCTCTACTTCACCCTCTATTCCACCCCTCCTTTCTCCTCCTTACCCAACAAACACCATCCTCCCATTGATTTCAACCCCCACATCTGCTTTACAAGAAGCATAAACACTGTTGCTCTCCCGCCTGTATGCACGGAGTCTATACTGTGGCAATTAAAGAGGTCTCGCTTGAGAAACATGTTACGCAACACATACACACTCGTACATACACACATAACTGCCCTATCTGTGAATGTCAATGCGTGAACACTGAGGACCAGTGATGTATCATTAATGCATCTGTCATGATTTAGTCATCAGCTGACTAACTTGTTTATTCCTTCCTGTTGAGAAAACAAACATGTAAATACAGAATGCATAAAATATAAAAATGCTGAATGGTTTGCTATCAGGTTTCCTTCCTGTGTTGTGAGTCATGTGCGTCTCCCCGTGCCCAGACACAAACCCGAACGTTAACCCAGTTGCGGAGACTGTGGTGACAGCCGTTACAAGTTCCAGCTACAGTGCAGCTTGTTATCTGGGCAGGTTATCCCACACACATGCTGTATGCACACACTGTAGCTGTAACATTTATTATACGTGTCAGATAAAATATTGTATGAGGTGTTGCAAATCTTGGTGCTCACAGTGTGACCGAAAGGCTAATGGCATGTGCATTCAGGCTTGCATGCTAACAGGCTCTAACTGATGACTGCTATTGTGGGTTTTCCATACTGGTATCCGTGACCATGTACCCCTACTTTGTTGCACAGGGTAGCCCTGCATGCTCTGGCCTACATGTACTTTTCTTATCCTGCTCAGGATGTCACTCAATGTAGTTCTCATCCGCAGGATGTGACAGGTATTTCGTGTGTGCTTCATTGGCTACTTTAAACTTGGTGACAGCCAGTCAAATGGCTGGACAGCTATGTGCACTCATCTGTGCCAGTCCGCGTGTGTGTGTGTTTACGTGGGTTCTACCAGCTTTCACTGTCAGGGAGTATAATAACTGGCAACAAGCAGACTCGGGTCATTGTTTAAAACTCTTCTTAAAATGTATGAATTTTTTCAACACCTTCAAACTCAGTCACATGGAGAAATCTCTAAAATTACCTTTACTTCTCAGGCTTAAGTTTAAGGGCAATTCTAGCAAGCCCAAAAATTACAATAACCTCTTGTTATCTGCTCACCCAAAGGG